CATATATATATATATATATATATATATATATTTGGCATCTCTTATAATGATCAGCCGCCCCCCTCCCCCTTTTTTAACGTGGTGGATTACATTGATTAGTTTTAGGATGTTAAACTTTGTATTCTTGTAATAAAATGCGTATGGGGTCATGATTTTTTAAAATTCTGTTTGGTTCGATTTTTTTTTTTTTTTGAGACAGAGTCTCACTATGTCACTCTCAGTAAAGTGCTATGGTGTCATAGCTCACAGCAACCTCAAACTCTTGGACTTAAGTGATTCTCTTGCTTCAGCCTCCCAAGTAGCTGGGACTATAGGCACCTGCCACAATGCCCAACTATTTTTTATTTTGTTGCAGATATCATTGTTTAGCTGGCTGGGTTCGAACCTGCCAGCCTTGGTATATGTGGCCGGTACCCTACCTACTGAGTTAAGGGCACTGCTCAGTTGGGTTTGATTTATTAGTAAGTTAACATTGGTATTTATGAAGGAAGAGGTTTATAGTTTTTTTGTGATGTCCTTGTTTGGTTTTGGTATCAGAATAATACTAGCCTTATAAAACAAGTTGGGAAATATTTCTTTCTCTATATTTTGAACAAGATTATACAGATTAGTTTTTTTTTAATGTTAAGTATTAGACTTCACTAGGGAAGCAATCTGTTGTTCTTTTTTTAAGAATTAAAACTAAAATGCAAGAGTCAGTTTCCCATAAATTAAATCTAAAGAAAGGGTGCTTTCTCATCAGTAAACTTGAAAGTACATTGGACTTTATCCTGCTTTCTGATTTTGTTATATGTGGAAGGTACATTTATGAGAAGTTGAATCACTTCTTGGCCTTTTGACTGAGAGCAAGTATAGTAATGAGAAGTTGAGAGCCAGCCTGTCCAGCTGGCTTCTAGCTGCATTCCAGCTGTGTAATAGGGAAATAATTTTATTGTTACATTTTGGCTAAATGTTTAATATTGCCTTTCTTATGAAGTATTTGGTTGCTTTGCTTATCTGTGTTTTTTGTTAATTTTAGGAAATAAAAGGGAGTGTAGAAAATCAGGCTGAAAGGAAAATGGAAGGTCAGCATTCCCAGAGTCCTCAGCAGGTCTTACAGTGTCTTAGCACGTGCCCTGAACAAAATGGTCACATTCCTGCACTGCCAAATGCACAGCCAGTTCTGCAATATGGTAATCCTTATGTGACACAGGAAACAAGAGGTCATTAAAGTATTTTTGATTTGGGGTTAGCTAAATCTGGAGGGGGATTTGTTAGTTTATATGTTCATGGAGAACTGCTAATATAATCAACTCTGAGAGAAACTTTGTGTAATTAGCAGTTTTCATGTTTAACACTGTAACTGGCCTCTTTCAGAGGTGATGCACATGAAATGAGTAGTCTGTTTGCTTATTATATACAGTTCACAATTTTAAAAATCAACTGGGTTAAAAACATTCATTTTTTAGGCACCAAAGTATGTGTTTATATTTTGCTTGTCATATCTATACATAGTGATGGTAATTGTAGTAATCGGTTTCACCCTATTCTTCCAAAATTTTTATTACAGATGGAGCAGATGGTGCTTTTTACCCAGATGAAATTCAAAGGCCTCCTGTGAGAGTCCCCTCTTGGGGACTGGAAGACAATGTTGTCTGCAGCCAGCCTGCTCGAAACCTTAGTCGGCCTGATGGCTTAGAAGACCCCGAGGATAGCAAAGTAAATTGAATTTCCCTTGTCCTGTCCATTTTATTTTCTGTCTGACTTAGAGAGTTAAGGGTGTGGCCATGTGAGTGGAAGGAGTGTCTGTACACTATTGCCTACTTGATTTTTGGAAAATGCTGCTTATATTTAAGTTTGAAAAATGTACCGATAGGCTTCAGGCTTATACTTTAGGATTTATATATTGAAGTAAAAGATTAAGTGCAGAGAATGATATCAGAATATTGTAGTTGCCAGGTAGTTAACTAAGTAACTTACTATATTCTTTTGAATGTAGATGTACTAGGCTGGAAAAAGCAAAGTGTTAATGATAGTATTATGCTTCAGTATACATTTTTTTAGTTTAGCATTTATATTCCACTTTAGATACGAGGTGGGAGTCTTTTATTATCCTTGCCAGAAAAAGAAGTGTCATTTAGTAGTTTTCTAAACTACGGAATAGTGCTCTTTTAGGCATCTTTAGTATTTATGTAGCATTTCTTATTCTCAGGCAGCAACACAATACTGATGATAGTTTGTGTAGCATGTCATTATTATTATTATTATTATTTTTTTAAGAGACAGAGTCTCGCTTAGTTGACCTAGGTGGAGTGCTGTGGCGTCACAGCTCATAACAACCTCCAGCTCTTGGGCATATGTGATTCTCTTGGTTCAGCCTCCTGAGCAGCTGAGACTATAGGCACCCGCCACAACATCCGGCTATTTTTTGTTGTTGTTGCTACAGTTTGTCTGGGGCGGGGCTTGAACCCACCAACCTCGGTATGTGGGACCAGCGCCTTACTCAATAAGCCACAGGTGCCGCTAGCATGTCATTATTTTTTAAATTCCGTTTAAGAGATTTCTTCACTGTTTAATAGGTAAGTTTGTTTCCTTAGAGTAGCTCTTTTTTGGATAATAGGCTCTTTTCATAGCAACTCTTTTTGGATTTCCTTGCATTGAGATGAATTTAAAGGAAATGTTTTATCGTGCTCTTTGCAAGTACAGTGGTATCATGACCTGTTTCTCATTTAATCTAGTTTGCTGCATTTAATTGCTATTAACCTTTGCAGAAACTGATCAGTGTTCAGACAGGCATGATTTTAGCCCTAGTGCTCAACACCCATAATGGAGAAAAATGTATTTCTCCCTCCTGCCTTTTGGCCTCCTGTGTCCATTACTGGGAATAATTAGGAAAACTGTCAGAACTTTTGTAGCCTATTTAAGGTCTAGAGTATCATCTTACTGCTTTTTCACACCTTTACTTCACATTTTGCATATTTAATCTGATCGTTCTTGGCACAGATGTTACATGTGACAAGCCCTTCTCTTCCCTAGTCATCTGCTTCAGTTTAATTAGCAGAATGTTCTTTCTGGTCCGTGTGCTCTGCCCTCCTGCAAACCCATGAGAAGTAGTGTTAGAGTCTTGTGCTCATTTGCTGACATCTTAGATTTAGTAATGAGAAGGAGGACTCTTAATATGCACACCTTTTGAGTAATTTTACTTTGTCATCAGAAGGTTTTTACAGTAGATAGAGTAATTTTAATGTACATTCAGAACTTAAAGAAATTCTTGTTGTTGCAAAATAAAAATCAACTTGTAAATAAAGTGTTTTAATCAGTAATTTTAGTAATAATTAGGAAAGTTGGAGTTGACCTCTTCTTTCAAATCTTTCTTTGCCCTGGGAGTGATTAACAGCCACAGGCCCCAGGACCTTTGAGTCAGGGTTAAGATGGCCTTTTCTTTCAGCTTATCCCATGCCTACACCTGCCATATCTCCTCCCTTCTGCACCAGAAACTGTGGTCAACTATCAGATCAAAAGTCTTTTTATGACTCCCGTTTATTTAATAATTGCAGTAACTTAGCATATCATAATTATGATAATGGTGATGGCAGCAAACATTTATCTCTCTTTGTCAGCTAAATTCTTTAGTATGGTAACTTATTCTTCACAGCAGTCCTGTGAGGTAGGAACTATCACTATTGCTATTTCATGGTGGAGGAAACCAGAAAGACATTAAGTAGCTTGCCCCAAATCAGACAGCTGGTAAGGGGAAAGATGAGACTGGAACATCAGATTGGAGCTGTAGAAGCTGTGGTCTTAACCACTTATCAAACACTAAACCAGAGACTCCCATACTTTCTTAGTTCTTGGTATCCTTGGGATGTATGATAGGTTATTATTTTTTTCACAGTACCCCATAAGCTAAAAGAATTACAGTAAATCCTCATTTAATGTTGTATATAAATTCCTAGACATACATATGCTTAAGTGAAATGACCTCTTAATAAAACTAATTCTTTCCCCCTCATCAGTGTCATGAGACAGTGTTGAAAGAAATGATGTTATTCGAGAACCGCTATAAGCTGTTTTGCTTAAAGTTGCAATTTCCAAGATATTTTCTATGATGTGATGTTAAGTGAGGACTTACAATAGCTATCAATTATTCTCTTTCCTAGTCAAACAAATTTAGTAACCATTTGAAAAATAGTACATATAAATTGAAAGAAAAGTTAATCTTCTTATTTTTTATTTACTAGTGGGATGTGTCTGATCATTGGCCACTATAACTTCTCAAGCCTTGTAATCAGAATGGACAAACCACCCTCATTACCTGTTTCACAGTGATTTCCACATGGCACTTGCTTTGTATCATAGCAGCCTCTAAAAACTCAGCTTCTCAAAGACATTGAAGAGGAATGTAGCATGATTGTTGACTACTGCCTGATAGACCCATCATACGTAGAGAGACTATTTTCAATTTATGACTGGTTATCATGACATAACCCTGTTATAAATTGAGGAGTATGTGTATTGCTTTTGCACTATCATAAAGTCAAACTACCTTTAGTTGGAGAACATCTTTGATTGTTTCTGTGTATTTCTGCAGATATGATGTCCTTAGAAAATTAAAATTATGTGCTACCTTTCAAAGCCAATTTTTGGAACTATGGTCTAAATCCTTGCTACTAAAAAAAAAAAAAGTGGCTTGTAGACCAGTAGTAGTGGTATCTGCTAGAAGTTTGTTGGAAATGCATGCTCTCCAGACCTACTTGAGCATCAAACTACTTAGCAAAGTCTTTAGGTGATCATATACTGATTAGAACGCACTGCTCTAAACTTCCTAACCTTACCATTCAAGCCTAAATTGTCCTCCCTTGATGCCTAGCCTCCTTTCCAGTTAGTTGTTCTCATGCCTTAGCTAAGTGTTTTCCTTCTACCATTGTCCCTCCCCCTGTTTCTGAAAGACTTAAGATTCAGATGTTTTATTAGGATGTGGTTATGTTTGCAGCTTTCCACATGAGTCCTTCACTATGCACCCACAAGCTGAAGACAATTTTTGCTGATACACATTTTTTTAATTACTGCTGAGTTTTTACCTTTTATTCTCAGAAGTGTCTGTGGTTCTAAATAGTTCTGTGAGGTCGGGCACGGTGGCTCAGACCTGTAATCCTAGCATTCTGGGAGGCTGAGGTGGGCAGATTGCTTAAGCTCACAAGTTCGAGACCATCCTGAGCAAGAGCAAAACTCCGTCTCTAAAAATAGATGGGCCTTGTGGCGGGCACACAGCTATAAGGGAGGCTGAGACAAGGGAATCGCTTGAGCCTAAGAGTTTGAGGTTGCTGTGAGCTGTGACACCATAGCACTCTACCAAGGGCGACAAAGTCAGACTCTGTCACAAAAAATAAAATAAATAAATAAATAAACGAAAGTTCTGTGATGCCAAAATTTTTGAGAACCACTGTTTGGGAGAGTCAAGGACTGTTTTCTATTTGTCATAGTATATCATTTAAGTTTTTTGCCCTTTTCAAATTTGCCATTTTTCATTTATTGTCTTTTTTTTTTTTTTTTTTTTGAGACAGTATCACTATGTCACCCTCAGTAGAGAGCTATAGCATCATAGCTCACGCAATGTCAAACTCTTGGACTTAAATGATTCTCTTGCCTCAGCCTCCCAAGTAGCTGGCATTATAGGCACCCGCCGCAACATCTGGCTATTTTTTTGTCGTAGTTGTCATTATTGTTAGGACGTCTGGGCTAGGTTCAAACCCTCCAGCCCCAGTGCATGTGGCTGGCGCCCTAACTGTTGAGCTATGGGCACTTCAGCCTCATATATTGTCTTTTTAAAGTTTTACTTTAATAAGTTTTCTGTTTATAAAAATAATATATGATTATTATATATTTTATATATAATTTATATATAAACTATTTATATATAAATATAATAAATTTATTTTTATCGAATATCAGGACAAAGCAATGGGAAAAGAATCATCTTTGGAACAAATAGTGCTGGGAAAAGTGTATATTGAACCTGATGGAGGAATGAAATTAGACCCCTGCCTCATACTATAATACAAAAATTAAATTGGACCTAAATGTAAGGGCTAACCTATAAATCTCAAAATGTAGAAGTAAGTCTTTGTGATCTTAGATTACACAGTGCTTTCTTAGGTACGATACCAAAAGAAACAGATACTGGTTGAGTGTTCCTTATCCAAAATTCTTAGGGGCAGAAGTACTTTGGATTTCAGATTTTAGAATATTTGCATTATACTTACTGGTTGAGCTATCCTTAAACTGAACATCTGAAATGCTTTAGTAAACATTTTCTTTGAGTCCCATGCTAGCACTCAAAAGGTTTTGGACTTTGGACTGGGTGTTGTAATCCTAGCATTCTGGGACACTGGAGCATGTGAACTACTACTTGAGCTCAAGAGTTCAAGGCCAGCCTGAGTAAATGTGAGACCCTGTCTCTATTAAAAATGGAAAAACTAGCTGGGCTTTGTGGCAGGAGCCTATAGTTCCAGCTAGTTGGGAGGCCGAGGCAGGAGAATCTCTTGAACCTAGGAGTTTGAGGTTGCTCTGAGCTTAGGTTGATGCCGTGGCATTCTAGCTTTGGGTTAACAGAATGAGAGTCTGTAAATAAATAAAATTTGCTGTTAAATCCTTTTGAGTTTGAAGCATTCAGTGCTGAAACTGATAATTTTTGAGTGGAACTCTTTCTAAAATAAAATCAGTAACAGAGTATAACATCATAATAGGGTTATCTCTGCCAGATTATATATGGCTTAGAAAAACAAAAATTGCACTTGCTTTTTTTTTTTCCACTTTAGGTGTTTAATCAGCAGGGTTAACATGTCTGAAAGGTTGAGTTTGGCACCTTGGCTATGAACTCTACTGTTAAGTGATTTGTGAAAGAGTAAATTGATTTAAATTTTATAAAACAGGGGAAGGAGGTTATGAGATACTTCTATTTTTGGCTCCTAGAAAGTTGATTTTATTTTAAATATTTGTTATTAAGAATTTTAAAATGCAGAATATCAAGATGTGCCCTATTTTGTCTCTTGTAATTAATTTCTGCAGGGTTTCACAGTTTTGAATTTTTAAAAAAATGACAAATTTCGCTCATTATCTCTACTACTATTTTATAGTCATTAAAGTTCAGTGTTTTAAATATTATTTCTGAAAGGCCTAAATCCGAGATCTAAAGTAACCTGATATAGAATCAAAATTTACTGTCCTAAGTACTGAGCTTAGCAGATTCAACTGTTGTATCATCTCCTTTCATTATACAAATTTAAAAACTGTCTGGAGTTTAGTTATTTAAATATTTAATTTTTGAAGTAGGTAAAGAGTATTTGTGTTTTATCCTCCAGTTTCTCAACCCTCTATTAGGTTATCTGTCATGTTTCTTTTTGCTAACTCATATCTTACAGGAATCATATGGAAACAAAAACATTTTCTCAAAAAGTTAAAAAAAATTTTTCTCATGTGATGAATGTGGAGGAAAAAACCTCTTAACTCCTTTTACCTTTCATGGGGGGAAATTGATAGCCAATAACTAGTTTATTTGCTCACTTTGCATTTCACACTATATATACTTTTTGGGTCCTCTTCCTGTGACACACTAGACTAGCTCACTAATAACAGCTCTGTAGCAAGCAAGCATAACCACCCAGGAACATAAGGATTTTCATCAGTGCCTATACCTTCCTTATACCTGCTTCTGTGCTATTAGATCATGGCATGAACGCAGCTGAAAGCTGAGAGGAAAGCAGATGGGCAATTTAGATGATGTGGCTGAATTCAGGGTTTAGATTCTGTGTTTGGCTGTTGACGTAGCAATGTACAGATCTCTAAAAAGTGATCAGTAGAATAGAGGTATGGGATTCTAAGTCATTAAGATGATTTCTTTCTGATTATGAATTTTGTTCCACTAGGGCAGCAGTTCTCAACCTGTGAGTCAGGACGACCCCTTTGTAACAATGAAAATACATCCTGCATGTCAGATATTTACATTATGATTCATAACAGTAGCAAAGTTACAGTTATGAAGTAGCAACGAAAATAATTTTATGGTTGGGGGTCACCACAACATGAGGAACTGTATTAAAGGGTTGAGGTATTAGGAAGGTTGAGAGCTGCTGCTCTATGGTTTTGAGGCTTGTATTCATTATTTGGTTTTGCTTTAACATATTTTATTTTTGCAATTTTTTTGGCCAGGGCTGGGTTTGAACTGGCTACTGCCAGCATATGGGACCAGCGCCCTACTCCTTTGAGCCACAGGCGCTGCCCTAACATTTGTTTTTTAGTTGAATTTGCCGGTGTGTGCCCAAGAACATACACATACAAACTCAGACATAGCTTTATTTTCCTTTAATTAGGATTTCTGTATATCATGTCATGGATGTATCTTGTAAAGAGACTTGTATTTTCTTGCAAATTAACAGTTACATGTATTTTTTATTTAGGCCATTAAATATGAAATGTCCAATTGTAAATAGAAAATTTATTATATCTCAAGCAGTACAATTAATCAAAGTATGCACCTAAACTATTGATAGCTTTACCATCTTAATTTTTTTTTGGGAGAAAAAAATCTCACTCTGGCACCCTGACTAGAGTGTTGTAGCAGTACAGCTCATGGCAACCCCCAGTTCTTGGGTTTAAACAGTCCTCTTGCCTCAGGTTTTCTTCTTTTATGAAGCCTGGAGAGCAAGTGGCAATGAAATTGCACAAGGTGTTTTCTAAAGCTTGTTGAGAATTAAAGATTTTTCCTTTTAAGAAGTGGTTGAAAGCCTAGAAGTGGTAGTCAGTTGGCACACGGTCTGGTGAATATCATGGGTGACAGAGTTTCCAAGTCCGACTTCTGTAGTTAGAGCAGTGTTTTGTTTTGTTTTGTTTTTTAAAGAGACAGAATCTCACTTTGTTGCCCTCAGTAGAGTGCTGTGGTATCACAGCTTGCAGCAACCTCAAGCTCTAGGGCTTAAGCGATTCTCTTGCCTCAGCCTCCCGAGTAGCTGGGACTATAGGCGCCCACCACAGTGCCTGGCTATTTTTTGTTGTTGTTGCAGTTTGGCCAGGGCCGGGTTCGAACCTGTCACCCTTGGTAATATGGGGTTGGCACCCTACTCACCGAGCCACAGGCACTACCCCTAGAGCAGTGTTGTTTCTGCATCGTGGTTGAAGGTTGTCCCTACAGAAGGATTGGCCTGTGTCTCTTGGCCAATCTTGGCTGCTTAATCGCAAGCATCCTCATCATGCCATCCAGTTAGTTGCAGTAGACATATTCTGTAATTGATTTCATGAAACTGGTCCACCAAATAGATACCATTAGCTTTTCTTGATGTATTTTTGGTTATCCATCCATTGTGCCAAATGCTTGTGATTGTCAAAAAGAATTAATTTTTCATCACATATAACAATATAGTGTAGATGGTTTGACTTTATGCCATGACAGCAAAGAGAGGCAAACTTTGAGATAATTTCTCTTCTGATGCTTGTTTAATTCATGCAGAATCCAGCTATCTAGCCTCTTTACCAGCCAATTTATTTCAAATGGTCCAATGTTATTGGAATAGTAAGGTTGAACCCAGCTGCTAAATCACCCATATGTCAAGATGGACTCACTGCCCCTACGACTTTCAACTCATCATTATCCACCTTGGTCTCAGGCACCCATGCTACTCATTTTCAAGATTAAAATCACCAGAAAGGAGCTTCTCAAACTATCAGTGTGCTATACGTTCATTAGCTTTATCCTTCCCAAACACTTCCTTGATATTTTGAGCTGTCTGCTACATTTGGTCCCATGGTATAACTCATATTTGAAAGTAACAACAAATTTTTCACTTATGCATGATTTCATAAAAATTGCTGTAAGAAAAATTAGATAATCGCAAGTCAAAAAATGCATTTGAAAGAATGAGGACAAACTTTCACAATAAAAATGTCGAAATGTCAGAGGTATCAGCTGTAAAACAGTACTTAGGGAAATCGGACATTTCATACTTAATAAGTTAAATTAAATGAGAATAATTGAACAATAATGCAGTCTTAAGGTGTTTGTGAAAGTGGTCATCGTCTATAGAATGACTTTTTTTTAAAGTCAGTGAAGTTACCTATATACATATGTAGATTTGAAACATTCTGCTCTCTGCTTCATTTATACACACAGGTGTGGTGTGTGTGTATTCCAGTGAGCACTGCTTTTTATTTCAAGGTCAGACTGTTAGTCTGTAGTAAATTACTCTGTGAAGTTCACTTTCAAACATATTTAAAAGTCTAATTAAATGACAGTTGAGATAAAAGTGGCTTATAATCCCGCTTATAATCCTAGTACTCTGGGAAGCCGAGGTGGATGAATTGCTTGAGCTCAGCAGTTTGAGACCAGCCTGAGCCAGAGTGAGACACCCCCACCCCCACCCCCACCTCTAAAAGTAGCCAGGTGTTGTGGCGGGTGCCTAGTCCCAGTTACTTGGGAGGCTGAGGCAAGAAGATTGCTTGAGTCCAAGAGTGTGAGGTTGCTGTGAGCCAGGATGTATGATTCCATGGTACTCTTCGAAGGGTGACTGAGACTCTCAAAAAAAAAAAAAAAAAAATTTTTTTTCCTTGAAGTATAATCTTCCTTTATAATGTCAATTTATATTTGGTTTTATTTAAAAGTTGCAAAATTGTTTTTTCCCTAGGAAGATGAGAATGTGCCTACGGCTCCTGATCTTCCAAGTCAGCATTTACGTGGCCATGGGACAGGCTTTTGCTTTGATTCCAGGTAATTTTTCTGTTTTAGAATTTGGATTATATAGTCCAGTGGTTCTGAAAGTGTAGTCCCTGGGAATTTGTTAGGAATGTAAATGCTTAGGGCGTGGCTTCCTGAACCAGAAACTCCAGGTGTTAGGGTCCAGTAATATACAGATGTGTTTTATTAGCATGTCCTTGGCTGATTCTGATGTATGGAATCCTTTGAGATCTTTTGTTTTAGCACCGTCAGGAACATATGAGTTGTATTTATTATTATTTTACAAAAAACATTTTCTGTTAGTTAACAATTGAAGAACTCTCGACACTAAGACTTATTTCACATAATGCAATTGGATTAGGGGATTTTAATGGGGGAAAAGTGTCTTTTATTGTCAACCTAATTATAAAACTAAATTTAGAGGCTTTACAAATGGGCTATTCAGTTGTTTACAGCAAGCATTTAGAAGCAGAAAAAGAGGTTATTGGAGTAACTATAGATTTTGAAGGTAAATTGTTTAGTATGAATATCAGCTAACTAGATAAATGTAACTTTGTTTATATATTGAGAATTACTGTTACAAATTTATTAGATAATATGTAATTCTTTCATTTTCCTTTCTCCTCAAGCTTTGATGTTCACAAGAAGTGTCCCCTCTGTGAATTAATGTTCCCTCCCAACTATGATCAGAGCAAGTTTGAAGAACATGTTGAAAGTCACTGGAAGGTGTGCCCAATGTGCAGCGAGCAGTTCCCTCCTGATTATGACCAGCAGGGGTTTGAAAGGCATGTTCAGACCCATTTTGATCAGAATGTTCTAAATTTTGACTAGTTACTTTTTATTTTGAATTAAGATAGTTTAGCAGTTAACCCCCCCCCAAAAATCATCTCAAATAGACCAGTGAGGAGACCACACACATCACTTTCACCTACTCTTTATTATACTTTCTGACCAAGAGCTACTTTTGAGTTTGGTGTTAACTAGAGTCAGGGTTAATCTTTGGCTTATCAATAAATATAATTTTAACCTGTGTTACTCTTACCTGCTTTGAGAAAAGTTCTTGTGTGTTTATTATCTTTATTTATTCCCATGTTTGCAAAATTGTGTAAGGGATACAGGAATTATTTTAATTAGTGCTCTGAAAATATGTATTAGTGTACTAGATTCTTCAGAATATTCAGTTTCTGTTTAATTTGAGCATGACTACTAAGTATTATGTAATAAAAATCATTTATCACTAACAGCTGTGTGAAGTAATTCTTTGAGTATAGAAAGTTCCATTAAAACTCATGAATGATAGTTTTTTAATCTTTAGAAATGGAACTGCATGGGCTCAGTGCCCATAGCTCAGTGGCTAGGGCACTGACCACATATACCAGTGCTGGTGGGTTCGAACCCTGCCCAGGCCTGCTAAACAACAATGATAACTACAACAAGAACAAAAAGAAAATAGCTGGGTGTTGTGGCAGTTGCCTTGTAGTCCCAGCTACTTGGGAGGCTGAGGCAAGAGAACCGCTTAAGCCCAAGAGTTTGAGGTTGCTGTGAGCTGTGATGCCATGGCACTCCACTGAGGGTGATATAGTGAGACTGGAACTGACATTAGTATAGAGTAGAATCATATGCTTGCAGATATCCTTTTTGTATGTGAAATGTTGCCTTTAGGATTTAATGGAAAACATTTTGTTAATTGCAGGGCAAAAAATTTGATAACCTAAATGATTATTTTTAAACCAGCTTCAAGTTGTATTTATACCTAATAGGAAAATGGAACATGGTATATTCAGTATAATTATTTTCATATTGAATGATTTCATTAACAGTGATGTTTGTGGCATTAAATCATGGTGTATGTATTAGTATCTTTCACATTTTCCTGATGAGTATATACATTTGAAATGTTCTCAGTGATTAAAAATATAATGCATAAGCCCAAAACAAAGTAATATTTGAGTTAATGTCTCTGCTGTATAGTGCTCTCATTAACATTAAAGAAGACACATTTTCAGAGGTCTGTAATATCACTGTTGTCAAATTTATTTGCCATAGTTTTTCATTAACCTAGACTCTTGAGCATATTTTGGGGGGTTGAGCCTTTAAAAGTACTTCTAAACTGTATTCCTTTACTTTTATAAAAATGTATGTATTGAGTTTAAAATCAACTGTTGATTTTGTTGCTTTTATAGATAGATGTATTTTGATTCTGAGGAAACTAGCTATTTAAGATGTTTATCTAATACTTACAGACCTGGTGGTATTTTTGGGTGCCATATGTGAACTATGTACAGGGACTGATAAGATCATGAACTTATCCTAGAAAAAGTGCTACATACCTCATTGCTGAATATTGCTGCAGTCACCTTTGATGACCAGCTGTTGTCATATGAGGTCTGACAGTTAAGTTCACAGACTTGCCACTGTGCACTTATGTTGGTAAGGTCCACAGCTTATCAGTGTCTCAACTGTGCTCATATGGACATGTGGTGATCAGTTGTTGCTTGTTTTGTGTGCTGTAGGACAACAGCTCTGATGGTCATTCCAGAAAAGAGAGTTCCAAAGTAGCTTGGAAAGATGGACTAGGCGCTGTTGTTGGTGAATGGTCACTTAAAAGGTGACCATAGTGATACTCAGCAGTGAGGTATGTAGCACTTTTTCTAGGATGAGTTCACGAACTTGTCAGGCCTCATACCTTATCATGTCATGTTTGTAGAAGCAGAATTTGTGTATTTTGGAATCTGTTAAAAAGTTTTTGAGTCTAGGACATCCAGATGCTAGCTCTTAGTACATGCCAGTCCTAGGAGGCAGTAGCATTGATGACTCCGTCCTGGTAGGCTGTTATCACCAGAATACATTCAAGTAAGATAGGAACTTTTTTTTTTTTGGTTGCAGTTAATAACTATGGACCATGTTAACCTAAAAGTATCTCTTGATTATTACTATTAAGAGAAATGAAACTGTTGTCTTACCAGCATAGAACTTTTTTTTTTTTTTGGGCTGGGGCTGGGTTTGAACTGGCAACTTCCAGCATATGGGGCTGGCGCCCTACTCCTTCGAGCCACAAGTGCCACCCAGCAGCATAGAACTTTTTTTTTTATAAATAGTTACCAGGGTTAAGGAAACTGGAAAAATAATGCAGTCTAAGTAAAAGCTTAAGGGAACAAAATCTGTTACAGTCCGAGAACAAAGCACCAAATGAAGATGTTATTCAGTGTTTCCATGGTAAAGTTAATGCTGTTCTCATAATGGACAATAAGGAAAATAAAGAGCCATGTTTATTTTGGGTCAGAGGCAGTTTATTTTAAATTGATTTCATTACATTTATAAGCAGCTTTTCTTGACAGAAATTTTGATAAAGTTGCCTTCAGTTCTAAAACAAACCTCTGTTGCTTTCAAACTTAATGTGCTCTGTCCCCAACAAAACATATGAAAATATAATTTAAAGCACAGTTTTCACAGACACAGTACAATACATTCACTATACACGGTATAATAAAATATTCCCATCCTTACCTGTTTAGTAATACTGTCACAATGAATAAGTAAATAGAAATTGGAATTTGCTTTATTATTGAAAGAAATTTAACATGCACAATGACTATTTTATGACTGTTTAGCTGATGAACTACTGATCCAGCCTGCAGTTTCTTGCACTAGAAGGAGCGAAGCTAAATAATTGCTGGCCTAAAAATTTTTTTAATCAATTGTAGGTAGATAAGAAATAGCCAAGTAGGGCCTTCTTATGCACCAACTAGTTGCTTTTCATGTCTGGATCACCCTCTTAAACATAGGATAACACTGTATATCCAGAACCAAGACCATACTCTTCAGAGATCTGAGGAAATATTTAGAGGGCAGTGTCTTTATAAATACTTTAATATCCCTCATTATGAGGGATTTAGAGCTTAGGAATATTAGAAGCTTACTCATCTGGCTAACACAATTGTCATCCTTTGAAAATGTGTGAAAACTGAGGAGGGACCCTTGCTTCCCAGCTAATGTAATATTTCATCCAGTGGGAACATGGGAAGAAACGTATTTTATGAGCAATTTGAGTTGCTTTTCACCAGGTTGTTCTGTGGGGCAGTTAGCTGTCTCAAAGCAATTTTTATTGCATAATTAGGCAACTGGTAAACTCTTGTGTTCAAGGAATAGCACTTGGGAGAAAAGAACACTCAAGGCATGATGGTACTGTCGGTGAGGAAAAACTTCAGGAATGGTCCAGATGTAGGTTACTCTAAATGGTCGTATTAGTCACTCTTTTCTTTGACCACCTGCTGCAAGAAGCACTTAATTGTCAATAAGGCTCATTTTCGTATTTCAGCAAAATGTTTATAAAGCTAAACAGACATTTCTGATAAGAATGTAGACGTCTACAGTGTGATGAGGAAAGTGCCTTTTAAAAAAGTCTCGGAAACAAAATGAGCACGAAGAGGCAATTGGGGGTCTTAACAGAAATGTTCTCTTTGAAACATGCTTAGAATTTTCATTCTGAATTGCAACCCACAGGTTTGGTAGGGCAGCAGCTGCAAGAATTGGCAACACATAAACATTAACTTGTTGGCAATAGAGAACTACAAAGTGCTTTAAAACCTCATCCGAAGGTAAAGATAGAACTAAATTTCACACACACAGACTTTGCACTGAAAAGTATATTTCAATGTGTTCTAACAGATTTCAGGGAAATGCATTTCACTCAACTGGTATCTTGGTCCACAAATATCAATAGGCATAAATTGAATCCCTTGCACCAGGCACTCCAACAAATGTGTTAATGAATGAACTGAATAGACTATTTTGTACAAAAAATGCCACTTAAAACAGTGAAATGATTGGTAAGTCAGATGGCAAGATTTTTCAACTTTTTAAAGGGCAAAAGGACTTGCAGGATAATATAAAACACAGAAAGCACACCTTTCATGTATGTTATTTAAATATGAAAATATTTTTAGCATATTATGTTAAACATTTTTTCTTATTTATATTTCCATTACCTAAAGTCTTTCTACTCACAAATACTAACTCCATTATGTAAGGCATGGTAACCAGTTTGATAATGAAGGTATTTTGGTTTTGAACAAATGTGAGTTGATGTGTTGAAAAACTTCAATCACATTACAATCTTGAAAAAAAAAATCTCAGTGCCAGCCCCTCCTCCCCCCCAGTTGATACCACTGCAGTACAACTAAACAATATGCAACATGCCCTCAATTTTATTTTGTTTTGGGGGAAATGTGCTGAAGAACCTAGAGCTTTTTTTTGTTTAGCACCTTATATCAAAGTAATGAAAATAGGTATGATGATTACATGTGCAAATGTACAAAATCATTAACTCTACAAAGATACATCATTCCAAAATTACAGAAAAAATTTAAAGCATGCATTTTAATTCTTTTTCTTTAAAGGGTTGCCGAATGCTTCCCCTGAAAAAAGGTGGCTGTTTTCAAAATTAGCAACTGCTGGTGAGGATTTCTTGGCACAGTTATGACCAGCATGTTATTGCTGCATCTTCCTGATAATCTCAGCCGACACCGGGGGATGGAAATTGATTGTGTGGTGCCGCAGGCCCTGAGCTGTCTTGTAACTCTTCCCGCATCGGCATTTGAATGGTTTGCGGACACGTATCTGTGTTCTGTGGCCATTCTTAGCGTGGTACTTTATGCCATTCACATTCTGTGGAGAAGACAAAAGTATTTTATATTAGAGTGAAAGAGTATGTCAAACTTGGGGATATGGATGGACAGTCAAGGTTTTGCAAGGATTCTATTGTGGCCCTTAAAGGGCTATCTGGTGAGTCACAAACAGCTGACACAGGGAAATTCTTTTTTTTTTTTTTTGAGACAGAGCCTCAAGCTGTCCCCCTGGGTAGAGTGCCGTGGCATTACAGCTCACAGCAACCTCCAACTCCTGGGCTCAAGCGAGTCTCCTGCCTCAGCCTCCCAAGTAGCTGGGACTACAGGCGCCCACCACAATGCCCGGCTATTTTTTGGTTGCAGCCATCGTTATTTAGCAGGCCTGGGCTGGATTTGAACCCGCCACCTTAGGTG